AAAAAAAAAAACAGCCCACTGAAACAGAAAGTCTGGTTCTGGAAGATCAATGCAGAGCACACAGCTGCATCGAACCGACGGTGTCAATTAAACACAGAGGTAGAGCTCTCTGAGGAACACGCTGTTGATCCTCTCTTCCGTCAGCTGCTGGGACTCATAGAATCCAAGAGTATGAATTTAATTGGCGCTCGTCACATGTACTTTGGCCCCAGGCTGTGTGTCTCATAACTGCTCATTATCCTGTTCAGCTCCAACCATCCCTATGAAGTGGCCGAAGTCATCAGCCTGCCGATCGACCAGGGCAACCCGCCTTACCTCAAGTGGATTGGAGAAGTCGTTCCTGAATGAGCGCAGGCTGAAGGATGAGGGGAAGAATTGATGGATTGTAAAATTGAATCTGAAACCATGTGAAACACACATCCAGTGCTTCAACAGGTTAGACACACTGACAGCCAACATCCCAATCTGTTATGGTGCCATCACGTTATTTTCTTTAAAAGCACATCAGGTGTTTTGAAATGAACTAAACTGATGCTTTCAAAAATAAAAGCAATGATTTGACGGTTTCTTTACCACTAGGGGGCAGCCGTGGTCGCACAACAAACTGCTTCAGCTTTTCTGGGTTTAAACTGAAAATGTTTAAAGTGAACCCACATTTGTTAAATGTTATTTCAGTAGCATTTGAAAATAAAGCAAAGGATTCGTTTTTGATTCCAGTTTTTTCTTTGAACAACACACAGCAGAGAGATCACGATGAGAAGTGTTGCACAGTTACATGTCATGATATTACATACTACATACAGGCATGTAATATGTGCAGTAGTTGAAGTAACACGGTAGTTTACAATACCAGGTTTATACATGCAATAAAAACTGTAAACATTTATTCAGCACACTCGCTTCACCAAAGTTCTCACAACACGACTGACGATACATCTTACTACAAACACTGAATCTTTAATTACAACACGCTGGTCTTCATACAGATTTCACTATGCACTGCAAAACACAACAACCTCAACCATAAAAACAAATCCAGTGTCTATATTTTTATATAAATATCTTTTTTTATATGATGTTGCGCCTTCTAAGAATTGAATCAACGTAAAAGCCAAAAAAGAAATAATTCTCTCAACGTATGATTGTCTAAAGGTTTAAATCTGTATTATCTTCTTCATCTAAATGTTCAGTTTAATAAGTTAAAGGATTTTATTTGTTGTCCTCATGCAGTTCACAGCACAACAGTTTAGATCCGATAGAAAACAAATTCATCCTTAGAAGCTCCACCCAAAAAAATGAATGGTTTCACATTGCAGAGGCCGCTACACGTACAACTGGGCCAAAGAGAAATGTGTTGGAATCACATCAATAGCGTCAATAACATGAAGTAATATTAATCGCTACAAAAATACACGGAAATCCAGATATTTTCCTCAAGGAATTCCGGAGGAGCAGTGTTTCCACTTTGCACAAAAAAAGAAGAGAATTTACATCTGAAATTCATAAAACCTCTGCATTCATTAGAGGGTCAATAGCGTTAGATATAGATATAGATATATATGTGTGCAAATAGTAAAATAGTCTCAAATCAATCAAGACAAAAACAAGAAAAATACCACTGTTTTTCCACGTCTTATTTACAATAACTACACACTGTACTTCATAATACTTACAGCAGTTTTCTTTGCCTTTCAGATACATAAATGTGTTCTTACTATCGGTACATCACGTTACATTTCTCTTACATGTCAAAAAGACTCTTTGTCTCAATCTAATCTTGTTTGCAATATTTCACATCCAATTCAAATGTCTCTGAGCAGCTGTTTGAACGGAATGCGCCACAGTCCGTCACAGATAACTGATTTCCAGCACAGACTTTTTGTCCAGGAATTCCTCAGGTTGTGACCAGTTGTTTTTCTTTTTACTGGCCACAGACGACACTGTGTCAGGAGGATCGGAGCCTTGACCCTTTCCCGTCAGGTCTGCGCTCTGACCAGAGTGCTCTGGCTCAGGCTTACCCCTCTGCACGACCTTTGTCCTTGAGCCCTCTGTTGCACCATCCTCTGACATTTTGCATATTTCAGTCATCTGTATGGCCCCTTCTGTTCCATTGTTTTCTGCCTCCTCTCTGTTGTCACCACACTCTCTCCTTTGACCATTGCTGGCTCCTTCACTCTTGAGTGTTTGAAGCACAATGCCGCCCCACTCCTCCGTGGGCCGCTGTACCTCCGTGCAGGCCCTGTTGTTCTTCACCCTGCGTGAAGTGCGGCACAGGGCCTTCCTGAAGCCTCTCTTGAAGTTGTCAGACAGAAATCCGTACAGTATGGGGTTGGCACAGCTGTTTGCATATGAAAGCACGACAACGAAAAAGTAAAGCCCCCTGAAGTCCCCTGGCAGGACCACGAGGAGGTTGACAATGTTCAGAGCATAGAACGGTAGCCAGCAGAGGACGAACACCGCCACCACAACAACTACCATCTGGGTGATTTTACGCTCTGACTTCCTGCTTCGAGAGGATGAGGCTTGCACCCGCTTTCCGACACTCCGCACCTTTGATAGAAAAGCAAAAGATATTTTAGCTGCATAATGACGAGACATCAGAAATACAAATGAATTAAAAGGCATGGTCATTACTGGCGTTACTGACAGAAATATTTTTCTGTTTAAAGTAACATAAAATATTTTGAACAGGAATCGCAACCATTTCTAGAACCAGCATCTTCTCCCGCTTCACCATTTGTTATCATCACATCTGAACCTGTGTGTAAATGCTTTACCTTGATGACTATCAGCAGGTAGCACAAGCAGATGACCAGCAGGGGGCAGGAAAAACCAACAGTGCACGTGTACACGATGAAAGATGTCTTCCACACCTCTGCTGGCTCCGGCCACACGATGCTGCAGTTCCCATCGTCCTTCAGCACATCAGCAAACACCACCACCGGCAGCACCACCACAAAAGACCCTGCCCAAACTGTGGCACTGATGGCCTTGGCTACATGAGGACGTCGCCACCAGGAGGAGCGGATGGGGTGCACCACAGCCAGGTAGCGGTCCACGGACATCACAGTCAGGCAGAAGATGCTGGTAAACTGGTTGATGGCGTCCACCGTCATGACCACACGGCACATTAGAGAGCCGAAGGGCCAGGACAGCAGCGCGTTCTGCACCGCCAAGAAGGGCAGACCTAGCATGAACAGCTCGTCCGCAATGGCTAAATTGAGAATGTATATGTTGGTGACTGATTCATTCTTGGTGTAGTTGACTATAACGTGGATGACCAGAGTGTTTCCCACCAGGCCAACAACACACACTATCCCGTAGATGAGAGGGATGAAAATTCCCGCCAAACCAGGGAGCGATCCGGGTTTGGTGCAGTTCTGACTGGAGTTAAAGAAGAAAGCGCCCTCGGTTGGTGTGAAGCTCAGAAGTGGTTCAGAGGGAGTAGAGAGGAGCAGGAAATGGGAGACGGCGGGGACAGAGTTGTTGCTCCAGGTAGAAGTCGGAGCTTCCTGAGGCAGCAAGGAACCTTGGATGACCTCCATGTTGGCGTTAAGGACTATGAGGCAACAGAAGTCGATAAGATCCCATCAGTGACAGGTCGACATCCCTGAAAGGCAAAGCCAAGTAAGTTTCATCAACAAAGGTAAAATCTAACGACACCTCTGGCACAAGAGGGGAACCTGTGCAACACTCAGTGTTCCTTCTTCATTCAGCTAACAGCTTCCCCTTGCCCCCAGTCTTCATTCTAAGCTAGGCTAATTTCCCTTGGTTCCATCTTGTACAGGCTGTACATAAAGAAGGAACACTCGTGTCCACGTGTCAGCCTCAGTAATATTTAGGTCCTCTTGACACATTGAGCCAAATTTATCAGGGGCACGAACAATGGAACCAACATCAGTGTGATGAGGAAACATAAACGGACAAAGTATTTTTGAGAAAATGTATTTGACGTGTAGTTTTTAGGTTGGGGCCCATGTCCCATCCACTAACAAAGTTAACAAGTAACGCAATTCAGATAATAATTTTAAAAATATTGCGGTCGCGATCATTTTGTGGCAGAAATAGAGAAAGAACGAAAAAAATGTAAATTCAGAGACATACTGAAATGAAACAAAATTTTAAAAGAGTTGGGTCCAATCTCCGCCCAGTGGCTTGTAGAATACTAAACTGCTAATCAACTCTCCTTCCGTCACAACAAAAACATAACACACTTTGTTCTATTAGTACGAGACTTGTTTACGAAGCCATACTGGCGTCTTAATAACCACCACGTTGCACAAAGGCACACCCTCATCCGCTACGGCCGTGGCTGATAATTGGTGCTCTGTTTGGAGCAAAATGAACTGACCTATGGAGGAGAAATAATGGAGACATGTCCTCCACAACCTAAACTCAACAGCGTTAATTAGGATGATGGGAAGGACGAATAATTTACAGTGATGCAGGAGAAAGAGGCAAAGACAACATTACCACACTAAGAGAGATACGGTTTGGAAAGACATGCACACAAAGTAAAGCAAATGCCCTGTGCAAATATTAGTTTTTGTTCGGTGAGGTAAAATTTGTGGCAGTTAGTTCCTTTCCTTTCCATTGCCTGTAACACTATAATCCCAGTTGACATTAGTCAAGAGCTACACCTACAGACAATCTACACTCTCAAAGTAAACCAACCCTCGTCCGCTTGTCTCCGGACTAGACTAACCTCTGTGATGATGCAAGCAGTAACAGTACTGACTCTGCATCAGATGTTCTGTGTAAATATTATTTGAATCTGACCTTGTGAGACGTACAATGACTTAAAATGTATGAGAATATTGACTGTTCTTTAAATAATATACAGATTTAAGTCAATTTGATGCACTTTTTCTATGGTCCAACAAATCCAAGTGCAAATGAAAACTTTACTACTCATTTCAAATATAAAGGGAGTTATTCTTTAACAACCAAATGCAAAATAAATTAAATTGAAAACAAAATATGTCAAAACAGTGTCTCAGTAATTATGGTCCTGCAGTTTATATTAAGAAGAGTTATATTAAAGGGCTTTTAATGGAAAAATATAACTAAATTAGAAATCTAAGGTCTCCCTTAGACCACACACACACACACACACACACACACACACTCTGATGGTCCTGATTACACACTACCATCGTAATCTCTGCAGCACACAATAAGAGTAGAGAGACCGTCTCTCTTCCCAAAAGGCATCCCCTCTTTTGTCTGCCATTCTGCGACCAGGTTCGGTGAGAGGAAAAAAAAAAAAATTCCTGGGAGAGGTTGCTATGGTGATGGATGATCCAAACAAGGCCCAAAAGGCTCTGCATTGAGAAGTGAAAGAGATAAACAACCTAGTCCAAATGATTGCTGATTCAAGAGCCAGAGCTCTTTACATTCAGAGACAAAGGCAACAATGCCATGAACTGAGCATTGTCTCTATCTCTCTCTGTCTGTGTGTGTGTGTGTGTGTGTGTAATTTGTAGATCTTAATAGAAAAACTCTCGTATATTTAGGGGACTGATATTTATTTTAGGGTGTGATGGTACTGCTGAAACTTCTGGTGTTTGACAAATCTCCACCATCGGTCATTTATATAAATAAACGGCTTCAATAGAAAATCAAGTTGCAGTCCACATGGTAGGAATGGAAGATAAATAAAAAATAGACGTGTGGGAAAAGTGGATTATCTTCA